ATTTTCCTAATGATTAAATTCATCTCTGATTGCCATTTTATCAGTTAACACAGCAATTATAGTGTGATCAACAACCCGCAGAGTTGTATTCCAGTTCAAGTCGATTTGTATTCTTTAAGAATTAATGTAGTGAATAAGATTTTATTTTGTATGGTAAATCGATCTAAATTACGTCTTAATCCAGCAAAGGAGGGTTAATTGATCAAGTATTTTCGGTCAATATTACTGTCAAATTAGTAATATTTCACTTTTAGTTTGGTGTGCTTTAAAAGCGTATTTTAATATATTTATGCTAACTGGGGATGAACAGTGTTATGTCCAAAGCCAAACTGTTGGGTTAGAAAATGTCTTCAAGAAAGTTGCTAATTTTCATTAACAGTCCTTTGCAGTATTTTACTGATTAAAAGGAGTAAACTTATAGGATGATAAGAATTGGCTCCTTATGGTTTATTAGGCTTTTTATGCTAAGATTTAGCGTCTTTCATGCTTCAGTAAAATTATCTAAACGTAAGCATGCATTAAATGTATGTATATCGTATTTACAGGAGTATGTTATCTCCTGTTTTGGGTTAAGATTTCAGAGAACTATTACACACGTCAAATAGCAAACATCAGCTTTAGTAGTATAATCTACTCAAATGAGCAGATGCAGTGTGATCTGTATTAAAAATTGACGAAGAACCGCACACTTTCTGTTAGTCACTTGCAGATTGTGATTAGCTTTAATGCTTAAACAGTCAAATTGCTATATCTAAATCTTACAGTGTAGTCCATTTAATTTGGATATCATTAATCAACTTGGTACAGTTATTTGTAGTCGAACTAAAATTTAGTTGTCGACTCGACCATTGAATTAACGATACCGATAAATGACATAACTGAGTTCTTTAACCAGAGAACTTAAAACAACGAGAAGGTGCAAGGGAATTTTGTATGATGCCTGATTTTGGCTGAGATGAGATCAAGGAGTTCACCATTTTCTGTAATATTTGCTGTTATTTAAAGAAATGAGAATTTATAACAGCGTTCTCTGACAAATACATCTCCCACAAAAGAGAAAATTAAATAAATGAAACAAAACATAAATGCCACTTCATATGCATGATTATTTTTGCATATAACGATCTTTATGATGAAAATTGATAAAATATGATTTTTACACAAATGCTACAGATAAAATGTGTAAGATTATGAAGAAATTATATTTTACTATAATATTTCATAATTTTCTAATTTCAGTTGTTACAGAATTAATAATATTTATGTACATATGTACATCAATATTATATTATTATACTTGTAATATATTATCAATTATCAATAAACATGTGAGCGCACTGCTCTATATGTAAATGTATGTACAAATATGCGTAACGCGCAAAATAAGTAATGCATATAACACAATACATTTAAGCGTAAAAAGTACGCTCGCCAATAGGCAAAAACATTGTTGCAAAAACAAAATTTCAAACAGCATCAGCACCAGAAATCAATATGGCAGCCAAATGAAAACTAAATTTGTAGTAAATACACCAACAACATTTCTATCTATGAACGCTGGCGACAACTCCATGCTAGTCGTTTCATCTATAAAAGAAACGCTTACATCTCCGAGCATAGTTTGCCCACAAGCGTCTTTTCGAGATGGCAAAAGCTAGAAATTATAAATTGAACATCTTTCTGATGTTCCCTCTAGAAGGAAAAGTGAAACCCTGCAAAACAGAAATCAATGACAAAGGGCAACAAAGCTTTTGTCGATTTAAAATATTTCACAATTCTAAAATATTTTCCGTGGTCTGAAAATCTCGTCAATATGTATGCATGTTCATATAAAACATAATACCCATGTGATGTCATAGAGCTTGCATTAAGAGGGAAGGATACACCATGGCGAGCGTTCGTCTATTTTTCAAGTACATCCGATTTTCTACCAACAACACAATGTTGTGACGCTTTGTCGTCGCGTCAATCCTTCGACAGATTGACTCTTTGACATTACTTCTTATGTAGTTTATTGTTTTTTATATTAAATTTATTCAAAATTTAATTTATGAAGATTTTTTAAATCAAATTATTTTTAAAATCTGCACATTGGTCATAAATAAAAAAATATAATTGTTCCAATATATTTTTGTGCTTTACCATAATATTTAAAAAAATTGAATTACCCGTTCATGGTGTTGCTTTTTTATTTGACAAGATGGCTTCTCGAAATTTGAAATGGATTATTTTGCAAGGCAACGGTTCGAGTAGCATATACAGTGATAAAGCGATGTCCGACTTGTTACGCCTCAAAATTAGCGTTTTTATAACAGATCCGACAAATTAATAGTTTTTTGGCATTTGAATTAAAACAACCAACATTTATTAAGATTAGAAATTATTATATATGGATCGTTAATCGGTTTAATAAAGTGAATTAGTTCTGAATTAAAAAAATTTAATTTTTCATTTTCAATTGAAAATTAATAATATAAAGCATCAAATCACAAAACATTCCATTAAAATATACGACTTTTCCCGGATCACAGGCGCTGTTTGAAATCACGGAATATTTAGAACGCGACCACTGTATAGCAATTAAAACATTTGAAAGCAATGTTTTCAACATTAGCACTGATAATTACAAAATAAATATTATCACTAACAAATAAACATTTCGTTAGAATTCCAATTTTTGATTTTTTTGTTTTGCAAAAAATCTATTTTTAACTGTCCATATTTTTAATTGAACTATTTTTACATTTTATGTGAATTTTATATTATTATTTCAGTTTCACAGATGGTTTTTCAGAAATTTCCGTTATAGAATTTAACGACAACGAATATTATCTATCCTATGTAGAAATTACCTTGTGTGACTAGTTCGGACCCAATTTGCTGTCACCTAAAAAAATTTTGTAGATTTTTACACATATACAAAATTTTCGGCCCATTTTGCCCATATGTATATCGTTAAATCAGTGAAATATCTTAATGATGTGTGAGTTATCCTCCTAAACTTGCATGAAAAAATGTCTTGAGTTCAGTTATACCAGTACTTAGTCTTTACTTACTTGTTTGAAACTGTCTTTACGACAAATCAAAATAATTTAAAACGTAATATTACAAATAAAACATTGACATCGAAAACCAATAAAATGATGATTCGAACCATTTATAATCGAAAAATCAGAATTCATGAAATTTCATATAATTATTTGCTCTGTATGAATTTTGATACCGCCAACTATCAGATTTCGGAAAAACTCTGATCAATTGTGCTATATGTAATTTAATTATTGATTTATCTGATGTGTAAATGAATCGGATGGAATTTTAAACGATTTTTAAACTATGTACATGTGGACCGAATATTTATTATTATTGATTCGGTACGCACCTAGAAAAAAAATGTAATAATAATGTTAGATTGGGATATGACTCAGACCATATAACATTGTTGTAGGTAATTCATTATTTCGCCTGCTAACGAATGCTGAATTCTTGTATATAGAGTTTCGAAGACACCCGTCTTTTCCAAGCTTTTGGTTTTTGCAAATTGCAAGAGTGTATAATGCAACTTCGGGTGCATTTGAGGCGTTTGAAAACGATTGACACAGAGCTTTAAGCTGAAGCTCCGTATGTTCACGTTTTCGAATACCCAAAAAGAATAAGTTAATATATGTTTACAAATTTAAATTCGCATTTTATTGTTGTTTTGTATATATTTTAATTTGTAGTTAAGATATATGATAGAAAATGTAAGTTTGAGTAAACTATTATTAAAATATTCAGTCATGTTTTTCTAATAATTGAAATATAGCTTCCTCCAATAGGCGTCTCAGTACTACATCGTTTTTATCGACGCCTTTATGACTCCCACTGTACCGTTTAATGAAAATTTGGTTTGATTTTATTATATGTTTTTGAGACGCAGACTTACGCTGATTTGTCCTCTTGTTCCGCATTATTTATCTTAATATCTTGGTTACATACGACTGGTAACGTACATTCACTATAACATTTTCAATAAGAAACAAATTTTCAAAAACTTACATATCTTTGAGCATTTCTGGGCACACAGACGAACCTCAGCATTTAAACTGTGAAAGAGATCAGCTGTGGTGCTCATCAAAGAGCGAAGTTCAGCTACCAATTTTTCTTTTACACCCATCGACGGCATACTATCCTCGGGATCATAATCGTTTTCCGCATAATTAAAATATATACAATTTTGCCAGCAATTAGCTTCGGTTTCTTCACCGATCGACTCCAAACGGCTTTTCGAAGCCATCCAACACTAGCATAAAAATCGTCTGTGTTTTTCTTTAATTTTGATTGCATGTTTTGCATTTTTCTTTCCGCATTAAAGCACTTACTGACCTGTTTTTAATTAGCTTACGGATGAACCAACGATAAACAGCATTGTTTTTGTTTTTTTTAGGTACAAAAATATGTTGTTTAAAATTTTTTGTCTATTCGTTTTAATGCCAGAATTGGTGAATTTAGCAACATTATATTTCTTCACTAAGAACGTCACACTCGACCCTTTTTGTAAATGACCGAGCTTTTTCCATTAACGTCAAGCACACAGGTTTCTTAAAACTACTAATTTTTAAGCAGCAAATCTAAGGTGAAGCGCTTCAAGTAAATCCAAAAGTGCGAGTGATATAGGGTGCGTTCAAGATGGCAATCACGACAGAAAAGTTTCAAATTTGTCAAAGTATCACGTTTCGCGTGAATTTTTGGCAACTTTGGCAACACTTCAAACAATGAAACGTTCATGGTTTAGAGCTTTCTTGCCTTGTTCACGTTTTAGAGTAGTCAATGCAAAACAAAGTGTGTTTCTGGGTGTTCACATTCTCGAGCGGGCGCTGTAGCTTTAAATCAAACTGAAAGTGAAAAATATAATATAATAAACTGACATTTGATTTTGACCGAAGAAAACTTGCATTATTTTGAGATATCAAATTAATTATTATATTTTGAGGTATCAAATTAATTAATATTCGTTTCAGGCAAGAACTTTGAATTTGAACGAATCATCAATAAAATTTTCTAAACAAATTTCTGCTATAAAATTGTACCTGCGGAATGACTTCACCCGAGTTAAAGATTTATGGCTTGAATTAAGTCAAAATCTCTCCCTTAAATGGACTGCGCTTCATCAAAACATTCAACGCAATGAGGTATGTTAATATACATAGTTAGCCGATGTCTGATTTAAAAATATTCTTTCAGTATTATATCTGTTGGGGCTATCATAAAATCTAAGTAAGCTTACTCGATAGCAGAGTATGATAAGCTTTTATATCCGCTTATTGTGAAAGTTTTAAAGAAGAAAATTAAAGTAGATTTTACCTAAAAGTTAGACAGAGGTTTGTTCACCTAACGGTTGTTGCAATCGTGTTATACAAGTATATGTACATGCATCCCCGCTTAACGTTATACGTCCCTTTAAGCAGACCTAAATGCGAAACAGCGCTAAACGAGGCCCATGGAGTTAAGGGAAGATGGATTGAAAATTGGTTAGGAATTAAATAAATAAAAGTAAATAAATAAAACCAAACAATTATTTCTTATAAAAAAAAGCAATATAAACGAATATAACAAATAAAATTCAATTGTATATATTTCCTTAAGAAGGCATCTAATGTAGGTTGCGTTTTCCTTTTGCGTTTTGTTAGAAGCTGTTGATAAGTGGATAAACATCTATAACAGCCCGTCTTTCTTTTTAACTCCTGTCAGAATTTGGATAATTTTCAACAAATTGGTTCATATTTTCAGTTATAGTAGTCAAACTGCTTTTATCATTATCATTTATCATCATTACGAAGACTAGCTGCTGTTTCTTGAACTATTTCTTCGATATCTTCAACATTTACCTCATCTAATTCGGTTTGTTTTTCTAATTCCACTATTTCATCCATATTCATCCCTATCGACAGAGTTTCCTATGTTTCTTCGCTCTTACTTAAATCTGGCCATATGTTCTTCCATAATCCGTTCAAAGATCTCTCTATTGTCTCATTCCAAGAAAGTTTTATGTTTTCTGCAGTATTCATGATATTGTAGGTTTTCCAAACTTCTCGTATTGATTGCTTCTCTTCTCCGCCTATTTTTTCAAACATCTTAGTCCAATGGTTGGATTTGTGCTAACAATTCATGAAGCTATCAATGATTTTGTAAAATTGGCTCTATTTTATTTTTAAATCTTTATTTCCATTTTATAATACAAAATCAGAAAACATAAAACACACAGATCGATATTTTTATAATGTTAGTTTTGTTTTGAAAAATAAAGGTACATTGAAGTAAGCAGACCAAATATCAAAAACACATGTTTTATTACAATAAAACTCCTTTTATAAGCATTTATTTTATAAATATCTAGTTGACAAGCCGATAATTAATCAAAATATAAGATATGGAATATCATAAAAACAAGAGCCTGTCCAACACTTGAAAACATCAAAACTTGTTAAGATATCTAGGGCAACGAAAACTATGCTGTAGTAAATATTTTATTTACGTATACTTAATTGATGTTATAACTTTATTAAATGCAACGGTTACGGATATAATTATTAAAAATAAAAAAAAATCTGCAAATCTAGGCCTGGGACTAAGGCTGTTATTATTGTTGTTTTTTTCGACATCTAAATATCTTTTTACTTTTGTATCTTTAATGAGTTTACTCTTAAATGACTTATCGGTTTTTCCTTTTCTTTTCAATGTTGAATGAAAATATGGCTGCTTAGGTATACGCAATATGCAAAGCAGTTTTAAAACACATGCCCATGCCATGACATCAATTAAGCATTTAATTGACGTTTATGAAATAAAAATTGAAAATGAATACATCGGCAAACCTTTTTGAAAATTTTCATTGCATGCTAAACAAAACTCATGAAAATTTTTACAGCTCATGTGCATGAAATATGGTGTCACGCATTCATGAATGAGTTGAGCATCCCTTTATCTCTGCTTTGCAAATTGCTTTTACGAAAGCAACCTTTTACTTTACTTTGTTTAAACTGATGGCTGATTTCCATGGAACAATCATCGATTTCCTTGACAATTAATACTCTGACATCGAAGCGAAGCAAACATAAGGTATGTTAAAAATAACACATTGCTATCCGTGCTTCTGATATTTATTATTTCAAACAAATAAAAGCGTCAGAGAAACCCAAGGTCGGATGTTGGGTATGACACCGCCCACCGTTAGGTGAAATCACATATCTCTGGACCTACTTGGCCGACTTCAACCAAATTCGATATTTAATGGCTTAGGGGTAGTCAGAGGCACAAAAAAAAATTAGAATCTTCAGTAATTTTTTTTTGCTATTAAATCATGTTATTTTACAAAAGTAGTAATATGGCACTATTGTACAATATTTTGACTTAAAGTCGTGAAAATTTCAAAATTTTTTTTTTTTAATTTCCAAAGTTAAGCTGTCTATGTTGACCCAGTTGGAAAAAAAAAGTATTTGCGGTGACAATCATAAGTCCTTGGAGATTCATCTAAAATCAATCGGATAGGAAAAATTAGTTTTATAAATAGATAATCGGGGGCCTGATCGAAGCTTTTTTGTTTTAAATTAACAAAGTCAAGTTAGTTGGTCTTAAAAACCCGAAATTTTTGTAAAAAAAAAGTTTATTATGTGTTCTAAAAGATGTATAAATTTCATTAAAATCTACTGAGCGGTTTTCGAATTAAAGTTTTCACCAGTTCAAAAAACATAGTTTTGAGAAAAACGCATTTAAAGTTTCTTGCAACTGCCGCTAGCTTCCTGCACCCGATCGCTATTTGTTATTTGTCGAATAGCTCAAAAAATAATTATCGGTTCAACGTGAAATTTTCAGAGAATATTTGCAAGATATTACACTTAACCAAAATGCAAAACAAAAACAAATTGATTTTTTGAAAATTCTGACTACCCCCAACCCCTTAACATTCTTCTGATATTCCTATGTTACAGTGAGAAAAGGGAACTATAACCCCGCTTACTTCCCATGTAACACAATTTTAATTTCCACCTGATGCTTTCACTTCATAGAATACAAATCTAGTACCAATAAATGTATCGGGATGCATCTTTGTACGAATAGTGTATCACCTTATTATTGAACTTGACAGAAAATCCGTTCCTGTTAATAGTATGCCTGTATTTCAAAAATGGGCTGAATCAGATCAATAATTCCCTTAGCCCTCTTGGCTCATTTAGACATCCCGGCCTCCCTAGGTAAATACTAGCCTAGCAGTCGCTGTAGGTGCTGCATCGTAGCTACAACGCTACTGAGTCTTGTCGTGCGGCGAGATTGCGACCTTAACTGTTGGCTCCGCGTCGGTGTCCCATTGTGTGGGCGTCAGATACGGGGTCTGGTCGACGTGATCGTGCAACACCTCTTGGCTGTGACCGTCGGACGGCAGTACGGTTGCGGGAGGCAGGTGAACTGATGACGAGATATAATGTGTTCCTGTGCAGCAACTTGTAGTGTGTCTTTTCGCAAAGTCAGCACAACCCGCCAGACCCACCCCTTTGACGATTAAGAAATGCTGCACCCCTTGGGGACGGGAACAGGGCGGACATCGGGTGTGGTTCCGAATAATACTTGCTTCCGTTGTTACCATTATGGTTCGGGGCACCTCACAGTAACAGCCAAACGAAGAGTTGACGTTGGTGCTTCAGGCGTCTCGGCGTCGATATTGATATGTATGAGAGAGTAACAATGGTTATAACTTAGTTGCCTGTAAATGGACATGAACATGGTGCAACGCAATGCCATTGGGCTCCGACAAATGTTTTGCCATTATCGCTCATGATTTCTACCGAAAACCGTTCAAGGATGTCAAAATCTCCCAACATTGCATGATATTTGTCGATTTTTCGACTTTCTGGGGCAATTATGTTGCGCATGGGCTATTGTGGCCAAGAATCGAGAGATTCTGTTAACTATCTTGGGCCCTTCCACCAGAGGGTGGTGGTGGTGAGGTGCAGCGGTTTGCACCCCCTTATATGGATTGTCAGCACTGGCTACGTCATTGTATTTGTGAGGTCTGATTAGAAATGTACGTCTTCCATTCCCATGGTAGTTTTTCTAACCAGGCTAGAACAAATTCAGAATCGGACCAGATATACAATCAATATTTCTTCATTTTTAAATATGTCTGCACCATGGAAGTCAATTTTGCGAGTAGTAGGGCGCCACAGAGCTCAAGTCGAGGTATCGCTTTGTGTGCGCACATAGATGGTGGCACAATGTGTCTTCTTAGAGGCGTCACAGAACCCATGTAATTCGACTTTGTGTTCGGGGAAATAGTTTACCCATCGTGTGATTTGTATCTCAGAAATGTGGTTCAGATTGTTTGCGAACTGGCACTATTTTTCTGAGCGAAGAGATTTCAGTTGTTCGTCCCAGTCGGTTCCGTCAAATTCAAAAGGCCAATTGGCGAAAGCGATCCTGCGGGGTCAAAAAGCATTGCCACCGAAGATAAAATCTGTCTATTTGTTATGGGGGATAATGCGGATATGGACTCAGTCGTGTTTAAAAACTGGTAAGATTTCGCATTCCATTGGATGCCCAGAGTTTTTTTGCACTTTCCTTTTCGAATATAGGGAAATTATTCGTTTAGTATATTTTTTAATATATTTGGGTGATTTGCCGTTATTTTTTTTTATGGGAACCCTGCGGATTTGAGGGCCTTTATTACCTGTGGATTCGTATGCTTGTGGAAGGCTGTGACTTAGACAAATATTCGTCTACATAAGTTTGTGTTTTTAATAATTCAGTTGCCAGAGGAAATTCTGACTTTGTATTTTCTGCCAATTCGTGGAGTGCTCGAATTCGTGGTGCCAAATTAACGCAAAGGTAACTGTTTTAATTTAAAGTCGCGTAGTAGACTAGTTGGTGATCTCGGAAACTAGTTAGTTGAAAATCTTGGTCATCTGTATGTACGACTATTTGCCGTTACATTTTTAACGTCCTATTGAATACGTATTTGAATATACGCCTACTAATATGAGGAGCAGTAAATCTGGTTGGATGTGGGTTCCGTAAATAGGATATAATTTAGGGAATTCACCGAGTTAATAATTTTGAGGCAGTGAAGACAACTCTTACTTTTTTTTTTTTGTTTGTCTGGCCTTACTACTACATGATGTGGCAAGTAAAAGGAGTAGTATTTGCCGTTGATGATTTTTCCCCTGGGCTTACTTCCTCGATATGATCTAAATGGAGGTATTTTTCTAACACATTTAAAGTGTAAAAAGTTTGTAAAAGTCCTCACAATACTGATTTCAGGGGTTGTGGAGTTCTAAAATTCCCAAAATTTTCTTAATTGTTAATTAAGGTATTCGTTTGAGATTTCCCAACTTGAGTTGTCATGGTGGTAATTGTTCCGAAACTAGCCCACTTAGGATCCAACCAAAAATATATTTTGTACCAGAAGTGTGTTTGATATTTCCTCAATACCTTCGAGAAATATCTATGATATGAGATCGCTACCTAATAAATATCTATTTTAACAAGGGTGTTGCAGTTGCAATCTGCTAACTTAAGGTTTGAAACCTTTTCCCAATGTTTGCTATTTATATAATCTTGTAAGCATATTTGTTAGTTGCAATAAGACAAAAGCTTCTGCGTGAATGCGCTTATCTGCTTCGGGGAAATTAGGGTAATGGTGCAGATTTTATTAGAGTATTCCGGATCTTAAATTAATTTTAGACAGGAGAAAAGAACTAAAACTGTTCCAAGTATATATGTATAAGTTTTAAACACCTAGTGTATGGCGGTAGACTTATCCTAGATTCCCATCGGAAATACCCTAAGGCGAAAAGTAAAAATTGGTTTTGAACAACTCTAAGTTGTCAAAATGAATTTGGTAGCTTGGGTTCCATACAACAGAGCCATATTGCAAATACTTGTAGGTCTAACTAAAGTTGCAAAAGTGTTTTAGTAATAAACGGATCTCTAACTTCTTTAGACCAACGTTCAACAAAACTGAATGGTGTTTTATTTTATTACGGATTTATTCGTATGTCCTTGTTTATGTGAGCAGTCGCTAAAACAGCCAATACACTATGTACCTATGTACGCAATCCGGTTTGCTTTGTATGACAAGAACAAGACATTGCGTGGTACTTGCGAGGTGGACTTTGAATATATGTATATAATGTATGTAGACGTATGTAGGTACATATTAGAAAGTTATGAATCTTTTTATTGCTTTTTACTAAATATATTTTTGTATTTACTTCACCGCGTTTTGATTGTTTGTATATACTTGTATATTTTTTCCCTTATTATATATGTATGTTACTGACAATAATTAGA